GTTAGGGTGGCTGGATCTCACATGACAAAGTGTGCACATTGCATGGTGGTTAGGGTGGCTGGATCTCACACGACAAAGTGTGCACTTTGAGTCCCAAGCCTGGTGACTTGAAAAACATGCTGGATGTGTGTGCACGAATGTCCTGAATTCCAAAGGAGAATGGAGAAGGGATTGTAGTGTGGCCATCCCCCCTAGAGTGGGAGATTTCTCACTTTCTCTCCCTGTCTCTCTCTGGCTCACTATAGCAAAACTGAAGAAAAAAAAAATCCAGAGCTAGGTATTTGAGCACTGATGTACCATTAAAATTCAAGTTTCTTTCATTTTCTGGTTCAGTAGTTTGGGGTTTGTGAGTTTGACCCTTATGTTCACAGAATGGTTATATTACTCTATATATTATATTCATATTCCAGGAACTATGAGGGAAGAGGGCAAAAGGAGAAATGACAAAGCCTGGGGATGGTGGAGGGAGATGGTAGCTGAGTCTATCCATACTAAAATATTTCCTGGTCATCCTAGCAAAGGATTTCTGCATCCATTCTCTTGGCAAGAACTTTGTTATGTAACTACCCCTCCCTCAACGAAAGTCTAAGAAGGTAAATATGTCATCTTTCTAGACTCTACATAAAGGATGACAGCAGAGAAGAGTGCCTTGAATGACTCTAGGGTAATAGATTCATAATATCCACTATTGTACGCATCATACAGTCAGTCAATGAACCAAAGAAAAACTGTCGATATAAAGCCATGTAAATGGAATGTATCAAGCCTTTTAAAAGAAAATGAAATCCATATATGTTTTAAAAGGATGATCCTTTTTATCCAGTATTTTGCCACTAAAATGTTTGAAGTAAGGAATGAAACTTTACACAGATAATTAATTTTGGCAGCATTGCCATGGTGACAGGGGGGAAAAATGGTCTCTTGAATAGACCCTGAAAAAAATTGCTCTTAGCAAATATTAAGAGGTGTTTCTGTTGCTACAGATGATCATAGAAGTTGCCAGAAATTAAAATGTGCAAAAGATAAATACAAATCATCCTTTGCAGTGTTGGAGACATTTTATTTCTCTTTTAACCTCCATAATCTCATAGCTGTGTTTTGCAGGTTCTTTCTCTGGAATGTTCCTGAGACAACTCAGTTATCACCATCTTGATCTTAGTCATGACTCAAAAACCTCTTGTCAATTTTATCAATAAATATGTCATCTCAGGAAAATTATGACCTGGTCTCTTTGTCTCTAGCCATTTCTCCTTGAACCCATCCATTTATAATGGTGCTATATGTTTCCTACCCCAGGTTTAGTAATCTCTCATGAAATTTTCATTTTTAATTGAGTCAATAGGGAAGTCATGATGCATTTTTGCATGGAAAAATATGTCATGACTTCCCCACAGACCTAGTAAATCCTGAAAACCATCATGGATTGCACCTGCCACAGGGTGATCTGATAGCTCTTCCTCATTCCATACTTTTGCAGCCTCATATTCATGAAGGTTTTCTTTCTTTTCCTACACAAGTATTCATTCTTTTGGAAAAAGATAGTCTTAGAATGTGTTTCTTTAATCCTTAAGATAAGATGTAATTCTTACACAAACTTAACCTGAACTAAGCTGAATCCATGTTAAATTTTTCTTTCTAGTCTTTCCTCTTTGTCAATATGTCTTTATTGATTCCTTGATTCATTCAAAGACTAATCTAGCAAATACTTTCTGAGCATAGAATGTGTGCTAGGCCTTTTGTTAATCATAGAATTTGTGGAGACATACAACATTCAGGCTATGTTCTTAAGGGGGTTACAAACTATTGGGGAATAATGATTCTATATTCCTATAAAGAGAACCTCCAGTATTTTGGAATTCTTGAGATGTAATTGACCATCCTCCTCATTCTTTTCTATCATCTTGCCCTAAACATGCAAACACACACACGTGCACACACTGATATGAAAGTGTTTTAAGGGGAGGAGGTATTCTTTTTTTTCTTTTCTTTTAAATTTTTAATTTTTCATACTACATTTAATTCCATATATCTTTACAGTGTAGGACTTTTCATTTTCTAGCACGATTACCATGCATATCAGTCAAGACAAAGACATTACTATATACATCATCATCAGCAAATAGCTTTTCTTTTTTTTTTCAATTAAGCATACCTTTTTTTCTTTTTATTCCCCTGTTCCCTTACCTCCCACCCTCCATTACCCATTTCTGTATTGTCCCTATCCTTGCTATGTCTACTATCTACCTTTGCTCTCCCTGCTACTGTATGTTCTCCTTTTATTTTCTTCTAAGAAAGGGTTTCACTGTGTCATGAACCTCCTGTCTCAACCTTCCAGTTGGGAGTATAGGGAGGGACATGTCTCCACACCTGGTTCTATTTTAGGCAGAATCTTGCTATGTTTACTAGATCATTCTTGAGCTGGAGATCATGACTTAGCCTCCCGGGTTTGCTGGGATTACAGGTACATAACTACCATTTCTTGTTTTCATGTTGTACCAGGAGTCAAATCTAGGGTTCCCTAATGGTTCCAGCCTATGAAGCATGACATCTTTATAATGTGTGCTACCATGCCTGGGCCATTCTTCATTCTGTTTTCTTTGTTGTTTGTTTGTTTTGGTTTTTGTATTTTTGTGTTTGTTTGTTTTTCATTCCATACTTTGGCACAAAGACCCAATCGGATTTCAGTAAAAATTAGTTTTCTTAAAATATTCTGAGAAAAATATCTGGAGAAAATTGAGATGACATTAAATAGAGATTATTTTCTTAACTTGTGATAAAATAACACAACCAAACATCACATGATATGATTCAATAAAGATTCATGAAAAAATACATTTAAAATTTCAGAAATAGACTTAAGAACATTTCCCTCTGTATGTATGTAGTATGATGTAATTGGTAGCAGAGTAGAAATTTGAGCATAATCTAGGTAGAGATTATGCTACCTCTCTATTCTTTTTATATGCCACGGCCTTTAAAATCTACCAAAAATAAGTAACAATTGACTATTTCAATTCACACATCATTTTATTGTTCCATATTTTTTTGTTTTTGTTGCAACATCTTGTCTATGATTTTTTTAATTCAAAACATATTTTTTCTGTAGTTCAGTTGTTAATGCCTGCATCCTTTTTTGCTCATTGAGGGGAAGCAGATCCTATAAAATAGGTGTAGCTCTCTTTCTGGTTCATGGTCAAACATGCATAAAGATGACCTCCTTTTCTACCTTTGGTCAAAAAAACTAAATGCCCATGATAGGTTCTTTTGTGAACATCTACTTCTTCCATTTAAACTAGAAATTTGTCTTTATCTTATTTAAGATCCCAAGTACTTTATTTTCTTTTATGGTAAGGTATTTTTTTCAGTGATCTGAAATATTGCCCATGAAGTTAGAATCTTCATAAGTGTTTGAATTTTGAATTATTATTTGTTCTCTGTTGGCTCTAAAAACTCACTCATTGGAATTACAAAACCCTTTCTCTTTATTGCTGAAAGCATTTAATGTATGCAAACTTACATTTGGCTTGAGAACATTTTTAAAAATAAACTTTTCAAATTGGAATGTTCTTACTGAATTCAGGCTTTTATGATGCTGTTTGATCTGGCATATGTTCCTTGTGATATCTGCATTGAAAACACTTTGCATTTGAGAGACTTTTCCTGCCTTATTGGGACATTTCAACTCAATTTATAGTTATCAGTAGGAAAAGAAAGAAAACATTTCCATCCAAAAGAGGTTTCAGTAGGATGTAGCAATAAGTGCTTTAAAAAGAACAGCAGCAGCAAGCTTGAACCTTTGCCCACTTTAAAAAAAAAAGAGAGAGAGAGAAAAAGAAACATTACAAGATTCCCTTTTTTAAGGATCTGCAGAAGGAGGACTCTTCCTAGTCTTTATGACAATAAGTCACTTGTCTTGAGGAAACATTTTCTTTTTTTTCTTTCCTGATCCACTTACACTCAGAATAAGACTGAGTTTATTACATGGTGTTACCATTAACACTAACGTTGTGGTCATTGGTTCAATACCTGAATTCTTCACTGAGAGCACATGTCCATCAGGATGCATTTGGTTTTGCATAATAGTCAATTTCTGGAGGTTTGAGCATGGTTATTGTCTACTTAACAGAAGCCTGGGGGTAGGTGTTCCTGGGTTTATATAGGTGAACATTTCAGAGGTGGGCAGCCTCCTAATTCTTTACAAATGAAACATACTTCGGCAACTGGCACATAACTCAAACAGAATGATACCCATACCTCCCCAATTTCCCTTTTGCTTCGTTTTAGTCTTTACCCTTGAGGCAATCATGGTTCAGAGTTCTGACTGCCTAAGTTACTTTTCTTATTTTGTATCTTTTACAAATGAAATTATATATGATTTTCTCCTTTATGTGTAGCTTCTTTTGTTCTGCATTAGACTTGTGAGGTTTACTCATGTTGTCACACATAGATGTGAAGTGTTCATCCTCATAGTGTACGGCATTACAAGGTGGGAAATGTGCTACAATTTATATATCCACTCTCCTGGTTGAGTAGTTTCCAGTTTATGGCTCTTATTAATAATGTTACCACGAGTATTTAGTATGTGAACATTTAATATCTTTGACACATATGTCAGAGAGAAATTAGTCATGAGGTATACATGTTGAGCTTTAGTAGACACTTAACAGCCTGTTTTCCAGAGTAATAGATCTTTTTCTTTATTCTGAAGATTATGATATTTTTTGTATAATGAGCTACATTTAATTGAAAACAAAGGATACTATAACCATAGAGAGAAAGTATTTTTATATTAGTTCACAAAAGAGGATATTCTGAATTAGAGAGGTGTGGGTGTGGCCTGTGGCCGGGCTGGTCAAGTTGCCGTGGTGCGGAGAGCTCTGCAAAACAAGAGGCTGAGGATTGTGTTAGCCATAAACCAGTTCATGCAGGAGCCCTGGGGAGGAAACTTCTCTGTCAGAGCCTGTTGCTCTGCGGGACTCTGAGGAGAGCACTCCAGGTAGACACGGTCTGTCACGGTGGGCAAAGGAGACCCCAACAAGCCTAAGGGCAAAATGTCCTTGTATGCCTTCTTCGTGCAGACCTGCTGGGAAGAGCACAAGAAGAAACACCCAGATTCTTCTGTCACTTTCACCGAATTCTCCAAGAAATGTTTAGAGAGATGGAAGACCATGTCTGCAAAGGTAAGGTCGAAGTTTGAAGATTCGACAAAAAGTGACGAAGCTCGTTATGACAGGGAGATGAAAAATTATTTCCCTCCCAAAGGTGATAAGAAGGGAAAGAAAAAGGATCCCAATGCTCCAAAAATGTCTCTATCTGCCTTCTTCCTGTTTTGCTCTGAACATCGCCCAAAGATCAAAAGTGAACACCCAGGCCTGTCCATTGGGGATACTGCAAAAAAATTGGGTGAAATGTGGTCTGAACAGTCAGCCAAGGTAAACAGCCATATGAACAGAAAGTGGCTAAACTAAAGGAGAAATATGAGAAGGATATTGCTGCATACCGTGCCAAGGGCAAAAGTGAAGCAGGAAAGAAGGGCCCCGGTAGGCCAACAGGCTCAAAGAAGAAGAAGGAACCAGAAGATGAGGAAGAGGAGGAGGAGGAGGAGGAAGACGACGAAGATGAAGAATAAATGGCTATCCTGTAATGATGTGTGTGGAATGTGTGTTTGTGCTCAAGCAATTCTTTTCCTCAGAATGTGAATTCAAGTGCAGCTCAGTATTAGCTTCAGTATAAAAACTGTACAGATTTTTGTATAGCTGATAAGATTCTTTGTAGAGAAAATACTTTTTTAAGAATGCAGGTTGTAGCTTTTTGAGGGGCTACTACATACAGTTAGATTTTATAGCTTCTGATGTTGAATGTTCCTTCATATTTAATGGTTTAATTTCTTGACTTGTGTATATATTCACTGCACACTCATAGGAATTGGTTTCAATAGTAAATTTTGGATTTTTTAGGATGTTGCATTTTGTTTTTTTTTTAATTTTGTAATAAAATTATGTATATTATTTCCCCCAAAAAATATACATTCAAAAAAATAATTATGTATTAATGGAGTTGAAAAGGATAAAACCAGGGTTTTTGAAAATTGACCTAATTTTCTTCCCCTAAGTCATTAAGGGAAAACTAAATCCTTGCCATTTAAGAAAGTATCTGTTCTGGGTCCCATGGCCTGGTGGTTGGGGGAGCCAGATCCTACTTGGCTGACCACATGGTAGTTCAAGCTCTGGACCTAGTGACTTGGGGAACACACCAGGTATGTTTATGTGCATGCCCAGGATCCCAACAGGATGATGAGTTGGAGGACAGGGGGTTGCAGTGTGGCTATGCCTCATTGAGGGGGGTGACTTTTCCCTCTCTTGCTCTCTAGCAAGCACAAGTGCTCTCTAGGAAAAAGAAAAAAAGTACCTGGCCTTTTTTTGGAGAACATAAAGTTCACTTGTAAAATACGAAAATTAAGCTTGGAGGGCCAGCAGCTAGTGTAATGGCTATGTCGCTGGACTCCTAGGTAGTTGACCACCATTCGAGTCCCGGACCCAGTGGCTTAAACTCACGCTGGGCGCTTGTGCATGCGTGCCCAAGATCCCAAGAAGAGAATGGAGGAGAAAAGATTGCGGCGTGACCATCCCCCCTGGGGGGTGATTTCTTGCTTTCTGTCTCTCTGTCTGGAGAGCACACACGCCCTATAGCAAAAACCTCTCCAGAAAAAAAGAAAAAGAAAATTAAGCTTGGGGTATATCATAGGAGATGACACAAGCACTAAACACTGTTTCTTTCTGTTTTCACTTTTTATAGTGTGAAGTGAAATCCTTAAATAAAATACTGGTAGCTATATCCAAGTTTTCTGTATTTGACTTTTTAGTAATGCATTATTTTAGGACACCTGATCCTGCACTAAGAAACATCAAAGGTTTTGATATCATTTTTAACTAATGGATTTTGGAACAACTAATTCCAGACTTATGTAGAGTGCAGAACAGTGCTGTCTCTTGCATGTTAACCTTTCTGAGGCTGTGAGAGATGTTTATTTTAGTACAAAGTGCCAGTTTGTACTTGGATTGATTTAGCTACAAATTTTCCCAAACAATCTAAGCTCGATGGTATTCTTTTAGTTTATCTCTCACTGTCAAAAAGCCTCTTTCAATATCATTTTAACTAAGAAAGTCAAATGGCATTTTGAAACATTGGCTTGGAGAAAACTGCAGTTCAGTTTGCTTTGATGAGACAGAAAAATAATTTCCAATATTAGATTAGAATGAAAAGGAATATAAAAGAGAGTTTTACTGGAAGATCTGTGCTTTTTATCCTTTTAAGGTTTCATGGAACTATTATAAGAATATTCCATTTTGTCTAAGATGTGCCTTTAAGCAACTTTCTAAGCCTCAAGGTGTTTATCTTACACATTGTGCTCTTCAGCTGTATTACCAGATGTCTTTTGTTTAAAAAAGCCTTTGGTAAAATTCTTTACATTTGAATTTAAGCCTGAGCAACAACAACAAAAATGTACTTAATATTGCAGCTTTTTAAAATGTAATGATTAACTCCTCCTATCCTCTCCTTTATATAAGTGAGTCATTTTCTTGAGTCCCTTTCTAAAATGAGGTTAAAGAATAATGTGACATAAATCTTATACGTATGTTCCAATTTTAAAATAGTCTTTATTTTTACTTTTGCTGGTCCAAATATAGAAATTATCTCCTCCCATTCCCCACTCCTCAATTAGCTGCCAATGGTCTGGAACTTAACGATTTTACCTCATGTGGTTCTATTTGTTTGTAATCCTATATTCAACATTGTACTGAAGTCTGTTAAACATTGATAAGCCGGTTTTTATGCAGCAGGTCCTCAGAGAGCACTGCACTAAAAAGCCGTAAAGACTGGGATTAGGTTTAGGTATTGTAAGGTGGTTTTGAGACATTTTCCTAGTGTCTGTTCTTCCAAAGGTGCCAAATCAACTTGGCCTTGATTTAATATTGCTAAAATTGTAATGCTGAGCTGACTTGGAGCTTCACACACTTCAAAACGAGTTTTTTTCTGGGGGTGATTTAACAAACAGTTCTATTTTTTCTAAGTGTTGCGGAATGCAGTACACACACGGGACATTATTGTGTAGTCGCTGTGAGACACTGAGTCCTTTGCCAAAATCTTAAGTTCCTTTCATTGCTATTCAAGTTATACCTTCTTCTGTTATCTCTTGTCAGTATTCTAAAGGCCTCATGTGATACTGTTTTTATTTAGTAAGGAGAGTTGCATTGTGTTTCATATCTTCTGATTTGTACAGGATTAAAATCATCCTGCATCCCATAGATAACCACTATTAACATTTGGAATTATATCATATTCATATATGTTTCCTATACATAGATAATATATTTTCAAAAATAAATGGCATTATG